TGTGTGTGTGTGTGTGTGTGTGTGTGGCTGGTGGTAAACCTCCATTCATTATTTAAACCACTTAGATCACACCCGTTTTTTCCACTTGACACAGAAGCGTTGTATTTGACTTCACTGGGTGTTTGATGGTGTTTTTGTTGGACATTTGCTGGACGATCTACCAAACGGTCACATGTTGTCTTTACGTGTGTGTTTGCCTTTTGTTACGATCCTCGTGTTTTCCCACGAAAAGAAGCTTTTGTCTGAGGCGCTAAAACACCAGCAGCATCAAGTCACATGGAGACAGGAGGCAAAGGAGAGGAAGCGCATACCTGCTCCTTCAATATAAAAGCATTTTCTCCCCTTCAGTCTCACGATCAATGCTCTGAGCACAACTTGATGAGGGGCCAGGCCCCCCTGGTTTAAATATTAACCTAAGTCAATGTCCAAGTGTGTCATTAACCCATGTGCCAGTGTAACAGCAGCATGCACACTACCAGGACACTGACAACTGAATTTGAGTATGTTAACCTGTTGCATTTCTACTTGCATTTTACACAAACAAATCTTAAATTGATTAACGTAATTCATGCAACTAACTAATGACTAATGCAGAGCATGAAATATTAGAAAATGTGTGAAAATGCCCATTGCAAATCTGCCAGACCCAAGGTAATGTATTTAAATTGACTGTGTTACAGTAAGAAATTAAAGCTATTCAATTTATATATAAAACAGAATACTTGACAAAATAATACTTCAATTTGACTAAGGACTGGATGATATGGCAAAAATTATATCAAGATAAAAATGCTCACATTAGTCAAAAAATGCTCACATTAGTCAAAATCAATGTCACGTCTTTATATCTTTGCCTTTTTTTTAAACTTCAGAGTGAAGGTTGTAGTTTTAAACTACATCCGACAACAAAAACCTAATATACAACAAAACAATTTATTTAACTTTATAATCGGACCTGGTCCCTGTGTTTATTCAATGTGTGAGCATTATTCTTATTTGTCAGACCATTGTTACATTGGTTGTACAAGGTTGTAGTTTTAAACTCTTCTTTATGTTGAGAGAACAACAACAAACACCTAATATACAACAAAACAATTTATCAAACTATCTTACGTAATCTGACCTGCTCAGTGTGCTTCCTCAATGCACCAACATTATTATGATATATTGGACCCTTGTTATATTGCTATTAATTAAGATTATACTGCGATACTCATCAATATTGTTTTATTGCCCAGCTCTAATCTGATTTATCGTTTCAGAAACACTTCATGCCTGTAACAGCAGAGCCTATCCTTGCCCTGCAGCAGGGGCTTTATGCTGAAAGGAGCAACCGGAAGTGTAGTGGTTGAATTAGTGTTGTTGACAGTGTTTCCTGCAGCTTCTGTAGCAGTGGTTAGTAGGAGGGGTGGATGAGGAGGAGGAGGAGGAGGAGGAGGGACACGCAGTATGAGGAGCAGGGCACTAACTAAACGTGCAGCTCTGTGATTAAACCTGCTGCTGTTACATGAGAGATGTTCTGACCCTCAGCTTCACACTCATCCATGAAGTCCACTGAAAACTCTCTCTTACGATTGAAGGTACTTTGGACGAGTTTGGACAAAGAGGAATAACGGAGAGCAAAGTTGAAATGGACTTTAAATGGTGAAGGTGTCCTGGCTTCATGGGTTTTGACTGAAGTCTCTTCCAGGACGTCTTTTAACCGTGGACGCTGAGGATTCACTTTTCATTTTCCTCTTTCCATCCACGCACGGACTGAGAAGAAACATGTGACCGACCTGCTCCTCACTCAGAAACGTCTCCTTCTTTTTTATTTGATTTGATTTTAAAAGTCGCCTGATTTGATCGAACTAGATGTGTTCTGCAGAACGAGAGTAAACGAGGAGCACCGATGGATTGAAAGGTTGTACTTTCAGCTGCGAGTGAAAAGTGCCTCAAGTAAGGTAAGAGGCTGCCAGAGCATCTTCCACCCACCATCCAACTCAACACACAAACATCTTATAGTTGTATATAGATTATAGATCAACTATACGCTGCACACACATCTCTGCCACATTTCTCTTGTGATAGTGTGTTTGTCCTCCATTAAAATACACTGTAGTATGACTATGATGCATTCTGCTTTTGTTTACGTTTCGTGTATCACATGCGCCACTTGTAATCTCCTCTTGTGTGTGTGTGTTTCTCTCTCTCGCGTCAAACCACAGCGAATAGGTTTAACACGCTGGAACGGCCCAAACCTGAACTCTGTTCCCTGGATTAACAGTCAGAACAATAGTCAGCCAAACGAGTGTATTTGTATTGTTTTATGAAGGTCTCTCTCTCTCTCTCTCTCTCTCCTCTCCTCTCTGCTTGTATCTGACTCGCTGTCAGACAAAAGATGCACCTGTTTTGTTTTCCAGGAGCTCTGCTGCAGGGTGACATGGAGGACTGACTGGAACAGCGTGTAGCTTATGTCCTGCGTCTGTTGCATGTGCACCAGGCTGTTTGTTTATTTGCCTGCTGCTCCACAGGCTGCAATGTGCTGGTCTGAGCCTCCTTTTGGGTGTTTTTGTGCAGAGGAGTGCGGCCCTCTCCCTCTGCTGTTTACTGGGTTCAAGTGTCTGGCTTTGTTTTTGCTGTGTGCTTTTTGACTCTGATTGGTTAGAAAGGAGGTGCACAGAGGCACACATCACTCATGATGCCTGTAATCCCTTGTGTTGGATCATCTGACTGTATCTGGACACAGTCACTTTCATAAATATAATCTAGGTTGTCTTAGTTGCATTTGATATTTTTGGTTATATTCTCGTGAATGTACACCAGTGGCACATATTTTGTAATAGATTTTGATTAATCTATGTGTTTTGTATTTGTCTGGCAGAATCCTCTCCATCTCTTTTCTGTCAGATACCAGTTTAGCTCAGGTGTCATGCTGCACAGTTATATCCTGCATATATCAACATTACATCAGGCCTTGACATTTCATTATAGTGCTGCACTGTTCAAAACATCATGTAGCCAACTGGGCCCTGTAGGCACGCTGTCATGCTGGAGGAAATGGATTGCATTGGGAAAGTAATTATTCATGAGTTGAAAGTGGTTACTCCAGATTGCTTTGTTGTACATCTTAAAATGTAGTCTGTAGCTTTTCTGAGGTGAATGCATGTCAGTAACACAATACTAAAGCGTGTGCGATCCTAAAGAATATACACATGTCTCATTAGTGGAGTCCTGACTGAAAGAGTCTGCTCAGTAACGGCTGTCCTGAAAAAAGAAATGAGAATGTCTGAACATTTTTAGCCTTAGTACCTAAAAGGGTTGTGGTCCTTTAAGATCGTGTCTCATTGAATGTTACATATAAGAATAAACCCAATGCAATGCTTCAACACTGGGCTTCAGCTTTAAAGGTTGCTACCTCTTGACCTTGGGTTCCTCTCAGTGTGTTGCCTTGAAAGTAGCTTTATGGGACTGACCTGTTCCTGAGAGTTGGGGGCAGGGAAGCCTCAGGAGTTACAAGAGGGATGTTAGCTACTTAGCTTTCACCAGACTCATGTCATTTTCTGCTCCCCTGAGACGTCTGGGCTACATTAAATAATAACGGGAGAGAAAAAAAACATTAAATCACTCCGCTGTTGCTTGAAGCATGTAGGTGATTTGCTCATTTGCAGCAGCATTCGCTTGCTTCAGATCTGCTCAGTGTGATTAAACATTCAACCACTGCCCATGAGTCAATA